CACATACTGTAAGCACTAACAAAGTACTAAAAATGGTTTATTTGCACAGGTGGAACTTCCAAGGTACTTCATTCTCAATAACCCAAAACTTGGACTCACAAGCACTCACTTTACTAAGAAACACATCTATACATACCTCTTCTTAAAATACTTGCATTTTAAGAAGGCCCAGCTAACCCCACACCCCTTTCTCCCCCTTCGTCATGGGACAGAAGGGCTATTCCAAGCTATCTTTGAATTGCCACTCGTGTGAGCATACGTTACTATGTCCTGCTCACCTCTATAAGCCTCTTGGTTCTTACTGAGGTCCTCCACCTCTTTGCAGCAGCTCAGACACAAAGCAGAAGGTACAAGTCTCTTCAGAGCCTGGGTCTTATGAGATAGGGTGGGATGGGGCAGGATTGGGATGATTTATGGAGCAATCCAGAAGCCTTATTGTTACTGCTACATCAGCTCTTCCCACACCTGGGGACTTGAGATGACCCAGTAGCTTTCAGAGTCCTGCAGTCCTGTTGCTGGTCAAGCAAGGTGGTTCTGACCTCAAAAACACGTTTGGGTGATGGGTATGTTGTGTGCAGCCTAAGCAATATACATCGGCCAGCTTTGATACAAACCTAAATTATACACAGACATGCAGGCTGTAGTTACTCTTCAGGCTGCAATTTCACATACCCTCAGGTTTTATTGAGGAGAACAGCACTCGTATATTAAAGAACATTAGTTCTATTTTGTTTTTCTGATGAAAGATGCCAGGTAAGATCACATTAGTGTAATTATTCCTGAGGTCTGAGCCAATCTCATTTAGTGGTGAGGAAGAATTCTTCAGCTTCAAAATTATTTGTGTGTATAATTATTTAATCACCATGTTTTGTTGCACTGTAGCTAGAAAATGTAACCATACTATCCAAAACTATCCATGAGAGAGGAAATCCATATAACAAGAGAGCTGTGTTTTGCCATTAAATACTTAAAGGTGAGACTTTGTATTCAGGATGCAAATGGGAGATGGGTAGAGTGAGGTCACTGCCTGTGAATTCCCCCTGAGATCAGGGTGAATTTTGCTGAAAGGGGATTAAGTGAGGAGTGTGGAAAAGGCAAAAAATAGAAGACAGTCGCCCTGGTGCCAATGGAAACTGGAACACGCAGTGGTGGCTGAATAGAGGGTCTCCATATCAGGGGGTTTCTAAACTTCCAGTTCTCTCAAAGGACAGCTAGACGGTACTTCAGAGATGTCAGAACTGCTCTGTTGTTGAAATGAAGCGTTTATGGAAAGGTAAATGCATGGATAGAACTCCAGGCTGCACCACATGTGTTTGCTGACCGTAAGAGAAACTGAGATATGTATTTTTAGATACCCAAGTGTAGCCGTCTCAATCTGGAACTGAATCTAACCACTACATCCTCATTTACCCTGTGGCAACCACATAGTTACACAACCAAGTCCAACTTTCAGGCACAATGACTTGTTTTGCTTTACTGAGTGACTGACAGGACAAGTAAGCAGGGGTTTTAGGTTCTAAGAAATAGTTACTGGAGAAGATTTTTATAAATATAAGATAAAGCCTGAGAAACGGAAGGCAGATGTGGGTAAAGAAGATTTTAAGAAGAAATTAAGTTCCTTTGATTTTGGGAACTGGTGGAAGCATCAGTTTTTCTGAAAAACTACAAATTCTAACATCAATCAAGACATTTTTTTCCTGTTCTTTTGTACTCTGCTCAGCCCTCAATCATGAGGTTTCCTACACTTACAATACCATAGTCTGAGTAAATCATCTCCAACAACTCCAAACATGATGGTAGGAGTAGGCTGACAACTACAACCAAAAAAAAGCCAAAACAACAGCAAGAACAAAAAGGTAATTTTTTTTAGTAGGAATGAACAAAGGTAATCAAGTAAATGTAAAGTACAGTTTACAATGAACATAAAAGCATAAAACTGAGATACTGCAATAGTCTGAGCAATATAATAACAGCAAATACACAGATAATGAAAGAGCAGACAGCGGTGATCTAGTCCTTTGGTTCCTTCTTTCATCCTCAGTCTTGCAATTAGGCAATGAAAAGGCACTCAGTAATATCTACCCTCCAGTTTCAGCAGTTTTGGAAATAGATTTCCAGGTGACATCTCTTTAGACAACACTGGAAGCCTATGCCAAAATGTGCATGTCCAGGATCCAAAGAGCCTCTAGTGCACTCTTGCACAGTAATTCCCATATTTTAATCTAGTTATTTTGCTGCATGGTGTTGTTTTTTATTCTCTTACAAGCACTATCTGCCTGGAATCGCTATGATAAAGTCTGTGAAAAAATGAAGGTTAAGGTTAATGTTTTGCTACTGCCTGTGATAATAATACAGCCTATTTCCTTTCAGACAAGCAAGATTTCAGACCAATTTAGAAAATTATAGCATGGCACAAGTGAGAGCAATAGCAATTAAACCAGCTTCCTCTTTAAGATTTAATCTTCGTATGCAAAGCAGCTGTGTAAGGATCAGAGAACAGTGCTGGGATTTCTAAAACCAGAAAATCAATAAAGACACCGCTGACAACAACAACAACAACATGCTAGGAAAAACAAGATGAGGAATCTTTCAGATAACGCTTCAGGATTGCTTTACGTGAGGTGAGTTTAAATCTCAAAACTGTGAGCACCAAGTCTGGGATTCCTCTAGCGGGCCGGACTGCTGCTTTATGGAAAGTTTGTTGCTCTGTATATGAAGCAACAAATTCTCTACAGGAAAATACAAAATCCCTGATGTTTTTTCTTCATAGTCTTTACCTTTCACCTGGTGAGGGAGGATATCTATTTCTCTATCTTTAAAAGAATTATTTGATGTAAAGCAGCTGAGGTTCAAAGATGTCAGACTATTGCCAATTACATTTTTTGCATTTTGAATATTATAATTTTTTTAAAAGTGTGAGGGCTGACTACGGTTTGAGCTTGAAAGTCTGTCTCTGCTCTTATGGCTATCTACCTTATGTAAAGTACGAACTCCCCTTAGATCTGCCAGGGAAAAGCATCAGTTACAGAAAACAAACTGTAAGGATGGTCAAGCCAGTGTGATTTTCTGCGGTGTGGGTTAAGAAGCTGTGTTTTGAACAAGTTTTCTATACATTGGGAAAACCTCAAAACCAATGAGGTCCTTATTAACTTTCATAAAATGTTTGGTTCTGTAACTCCTTTAATTGCTTCAGCTGTCAATTGTTGTAATTATTAATTACTTCTCATTCCCACAAATTATGTGAGTCATTGTGTGCAGCTTGCTGTCATATCTCTATTGGCTGATACACTTCTCTGGTCAGTATATTGATTTCCTGGTCATGAAATATAAACGAAATAATCTGTGTCTTTTCTAGCTTTAGTTTTAGTAGTTTGCCACAAGAACATAGCTAAGAGTTTTTTTTTAAATGTAAATGTGATTATTGAATCACAGTATTGGTGTTTGTCAGGCCTTGTGAATTTATTCTAGCTGAAGCTATGGACTGTGCTTCAGGGAATGTTTCCTTTGGATCTTCTAGTCCCACAGGAAATATATATTGTTCCCTTCCTCATATGGCTTCCAACAGGCCTACTCAGAAAGGAAAATTAAATTACTTCATAGTTATTAGTATTTTTTTGGTGTTTATTCTGAAAGTACCTTGGAAGGGGATGATTCATTGAAATGGGGAAATGAGGATAAATTGTAAAATCTTGGACAGTGCTCACAGGAGAGTCCATCAACTGCTTCAGTATCTCTTGTTTTCCACTTACCTGGGACATGTTATAGTCATGTAAGAGAAGATCTGTCCAAAGGACAGTCCCTAGACATAGACCCCAGTCCCAAAGCCCCTGGAGTGAGTACGCAATAGCCATGGACACTAATAGCTGGTTAATGTAAAAGGATTCCTTGCCTTTAAAGAGGAAAAATCCAGAAAGCCACTGGTTGTTATTATCTGAAATGACAATTGATAAATTGGAATCCCGTGATTACTAATCCATCTCTGATCTGCCTTGACAAGTATTTAAGAGAAAACCAACTTCAATTTATTGGAGATTTTCAGCAAAAATCAAGGCAAGGTGGGTGAAGTACACGCATCATGCTGTGTGGGATTGTAAATTATCTAATAATCATAAGCTGTTATCAAATCAGTTGCAACAATGGCAGGCATCACCAGGGGAAAACATTCTGTTTCACAAGATGTAGAGAATGGTTGCGTAAAGCTATCTCCCAATTTCTATTCTCTATGACAGCATATAAAAGTGCACTTAACTCAGGTCTCTGTAGCTGTCTCTGCTGACTTATTCTTCTCGGTGACTGGGTAAGTCCGATTTAACTAAATCCATTTATAATTATAGATGTGGATTTATAGGTAGCATTAATATGGGGCTATACATCCTGCCCCATTTTAGTGCCGGACCTTATTTTCTAAAAACATTTTACTTGGAAACTGTAACTTGCAAATAGGGTGAATCACCACCTGTTGGGGAAAAAATTAATCGGATTTTCAAAAATGTGGATGGCAGCAATTCCTAGGAATTCAGCATCTATCTATGGAGACAGGACACTCCAAAAACATTATTTGGATAGGACTGACTCCCAGACAAAAAGAACAACAAAGGCAATTATGTGAGAAAAGAACAGAGACATTCTTCCCAGAACTCATTTTGGGAATAGGCTAGGCGGCAATGGAGCACTAGAGAGGAGATAGGATAGACTTAGAAGCCTCTATGCAGCAATTAATCACTCTTGATTTGTGAGATCTGTAATGCACATTCTTCTTTAGAGTAGAATGGATTGTGCCTTAGAAACTGTGATTATTTTTAATTTTTTTTTTAAATCACTACTTCTTGAGTTTAGTGTAGCTGACTAGGACATATGTATCTCATCTGTTCGGATGGATACCTTTCAACACATCTACACAACGCGTGTTACTATAATACAGTTTGTTCTTTCACCCCTCTGGCTGTAACTTTATCAGGCTAGTGCACTCTGCCTTTCAGGTTGACTTGCCTTCTGGAAAGATGTCTTCCTATGGACAGATGCTTAGCTCCCGCTGTGCTGAGCCATGTGAAGTGACATGCTCGCAACCGTTTGTCAACTGTTGGAATGAACCATGTGTCAGCTCATGTGGAGACTCAAGAGCAATCGTGTACGCGCCACCCGTTGTGGTAACTTTTCCGGGACCCATTATCAGCTCGTGCCCTCAGGAAAGTATTGTGGGAACTGCCATGCCTGAAATTGAGGGTCACATGGGCTCCGGAGGTGGAGGAATGGGCTCCGGAGGTGGAGGAATGGGCTCCGGAGGTGGAGGAATGAGCTCCGGAGGTGGAGGAATGGGCTCTGGTGGTTCCTGTGTTGGAGGCAGCTCCTATGGGATGGGCTCCCATGGTTCAGGCAGTTCTTATGGTGGCATGGGAGGGGGCTCATATGGTGGGGAGGGTTCGTGTGGTGGTGGAATCTCCCGTTTGGGAAGCTGTTACCGAAACTCATTTTTTTCAGGATTTGGTAGAAATTCTTTCCCCTTTTTTTCCAGAGGGTATTATAGATATCGCTATGGAAACTATGGGCCATTTTAAATCTTTAAGAAAGATTAATGGCTGAATGAATAACAAGATACAGACCAGTAGCTGACATATAGATGTGGAAATCAGACATGCCAAGCAGCCTCTGCTCCAGCTGATGTCCCTAGGAGCTGGGCTTGCTTGGGATCTCTTTGCGCTTTATCTAAAGCTTATGATCCCAATGTTACCTCACTTCGTCATTTGCTCATGTTATGTTTGTTCTTTCTGAACCTGAAGAGAGTAAAACAAGTAATGGGACTTGGCTGTGAAAGTGTCCAGCTGAAAGAAGAACATCTTGTGAACCCTGTGCTCCTCTGAACGACTGACTGATTGCAGTCCTTGTTGAAATGGAAATTACATTCTTTGTCTCTGCATTGCCTCATTCCGCAAGAATGTATTCCACTTCTTGTTTGTATTAAAGCCCTGTTGCATCATCACACCGCCTTCTGGCTTTCATTTCACTGTGGTTTCATAGTTACAAACCAGTCTGAAAGAAATCTGTGCATCTACTCTTATGCACTTATTGAAGACAATAATCAGAGAAGAGTTAATTCTTCTGTATGGCAAACATAATTTGTCAGTATTATTTTTTGAGTTATTTTTCTTTGCCATTCTGATATATATACCATGGTATACAAGCTAATAAATTAGCTTGTCCCGTCAGTGCTTGATGCAGCAGTGGCAGCAGCTCCTGCAGTGGCAGCAGCTC